TGTCTCTCTGTCTCTGTCTCTGTCTCTCTCTGTCTCTCTCTCTCTCTCTCTCTCTCTCTCTCTCTCTCTCTCTCTCTCTCAGACAGGGTCCCACTGTCCCACTGTGCAGGTCAGGCTAGCCTTGAGCTTACTTTGTAGCCCAGGCTGGTCTCGAACTCCCAGTGATCCTCCTGCCTCAGCCTCCAGAGTGCTGGGATGACAGGTGTGCACCACCATGCCCGGCCTGACCTGTCTCAGAAACAAAAAAGACTGATTCTTGCTGCTAGTGGGTGAAACAGTGGTGTCTTAGGAGTATGCCACGCAGGAGGTCACACAGCTGCTGGAATTTGGAGTTACACAATTAGAACTTGTGACTGGGCATGGTTGTGCACTCTGGTAATCCTAGAACTTGGGAGGCTGAGACAGGAGGATCTCCATGAGTTGAAGGACAGACTGGACAACATAGTTTGAGGCCAACCTGAATTACAGTGAGACCCTATCTCAAAAAAAAAAAAAAAAAAAATTGTGAACATTATGCCAGTGAACTTCAATTTAAAAATATACACATGCCTTTTCAAATTTATTTTTAATATTTATTTATTTATCTATTCGGAACCAGGGATAGAACTCAGGCCCTTGTGCTTGCCAGACAAGCACTTATTCTACTGAACCGTCTCTCCCTGGCCACATTATCAAACTTACATATTATACATATTCATAAAATGGTATAGGCAGTGGGTCCATTGGGGATTAAACTGTCGCGTGCCAGTCCTGCTACAGCACAGCTGGGCCCACAGACAGGTGAGGCGGGGGCCTGTGGTAGCCCGCGCTCCTGGTCTTTGGCCCTCTGTCTAGCATGTACAGCCTAATATTTACCTTGCAAATAAGGGGTGGAGGAGGGGCAAGTGCAGCTGGGCCCAGGCTCTGTGGCACTGGAAGCTGCTGGGCCAGTCGGACAACGAGGCCCTGTCACACTGTCACCCTGCCACAGAGGCGGAGGCGGGGTTGGGGCAGCAGAAGGGTGAGGACAGAGGAAGGCCCAGCGGCCCGGACAGGACTCCTCCTACAGGTGACCTCAGGCACATACACACTTCCCAGGACCAGCCAGGAAGGAGGGGAGTAGGCAGCCCTCGTGGCCCAGAGCAGTGTGTCCTTGTGCCTGGACACCTTACAGCGGGGTGGGGCAGCTTTCTTTTCTTCTGTTTTCTTTTCTGTTCTTTTTTTTTTGGAGAGTCACTATGCAGTTCAGGTTGATCTTGCACTTACAATGTAACCCAGACTGGCCTCAAACTCAAAATCCTCCTGCTGCGGCCTCCTGAGTGCTAGGATTACAGGCTACCATGAACTATGTAACACATTTCTGGGGCTTCACATTCCTAATGTCCCTTAGTCCTCCTAACACAGCCTTACTCCCATTACACAGGCTGAGAGACTGAGGCCCACACACATAAAAGCAGCCCCCAGTGTTTTGAGCCTGGGAAGTTCCTCGGCTGCATGTGGCCGAGCACAGGAGCAGTGGCCTCTTCTCTGCAGTGTCTTCTCTGAGACAGTCTATCTCTGGCCCCAGGAGGGCCTGTCCTCCAGATGGCGGGGGTAGGCCACTTGTCCCCACGGCCCTGACCTGCTGACCTGTCCCTGTCCGCTGATTTCTTCACGCTGGTTCAACATTAACTCAGCAGGGTCAGCACAGGCCCGGGAGCCTGGCGGGACACACTTGTGCCATGGCGCACGTCGCAGGCCTGCGGCTGCCCAGCTGCCTGGCCCTGGCCCTGGCCCTGTTCAACCTCGTCCTTGGCCAGGACGGTAAGACTGGCTGGGAGCAGGTGGGCAGGGCGGGTGGTTTCCCTGTCCTGTACTGGGGAGGGGGCTCCACGCCCTGTGTCCCCACGGCTGCCGCCCGGCCCAGCTCCTAGGTGACCGCACCCGCCCTCCTGCGCAGTGTTCCTGGCCCCGCAGCAGGCGCTATCGCTGCTGCAGCGGGTGCGCAGGGCCAACAGCGGCTTCCTGGAGGAGCTGCGCAAGGGCAACCTGGAACGTGAGTGCGTGGAGGAGCAGTGCAGCTACGAGGAGGCCTTCGAGGCCCTGGAGTCAGCCAGCGAGACGGTGAGCAGGCCTGGGGCCCTGGGCGGCCTGGGGCCCTGGGCGGCCTGGGCTGGGCTGGAACCAGGGATCCTCCTGCCTCAGCCTCCGGGGGACTGGGATGACAGGCACGGGCCACCACACCTGGCTTTCTTCTCAGTAACTTCTGCCCTGAGCCCCAAGTCCCTGGCCTACCAAGATGGGGGCCCCTCAGCCTATTCTGGGGCTCCCTATACCTGGCACTGTAGCCTGTGTTGCACACCATGCCAGATCTGCTGGGGCTCGGTGGCAGCAGGCCCTGGGCTGAAACATCTGCCTGTGCTGGGCCTTCTGGTGCTGGTGCCAGCTGAAGCCTCTGCCACTACAAGCACAGTCCTGAGCTGGGTGGTGGCATGCATCTGTCATCCTAGTACTGGGGGGAGGGGGAGGCAGGAGAATTGTTGGGAGCTCGAGGCTCCACAGTGAGGTCAAGGCCAAACTGAGCTACACAGCAAGACCCTGCCCTAAGAAATTATAAACCAAAAGCACCGTCCTGCCAGGCTCACCCCACACCTTCTTTTCCAGGACGCGTTCTGGGCCAAGTACACGGGTGAGCCCCAGAAGGGAAGGGGGGGTCCAGGAGGGGCCAGCCTGGCAGGGAGTGGGGGCTAGGGGTGCGTCCAGGGCATGCAGCTCCTGGCCTCCTTCCTCTCCCCATCCCTCCTCGTGTCCCTCAGCCTCTTTCTGGTATCACCCTGACCCTCCCCTCCTGCCCCGGTGCCTGTGTTGCCTTCCAGCCTGCAGGTCTGTGCTGAAGCCCCGGGAGACTCTCATGGAATGTCTGGAAGGTGAGGAGCAGAAGGACAGACAGACAGACGGACTAGACAGGCAGAAGGACAGATACAGGCATGCTCGGAGGAGACCTGGGGTAGGAGAGGCTGGAGGTGGCCGTCGTGTATCTGATGTGCCAAGGGGCAGGGATGTAAGAGAGCTAGTACAGACCCTACTTTAAGCAGCTCAGAGTCACACAGGAGAGCAGAATGCAGACATTGCTGTGACATGCCACAGGCCCCGGAGAGTGTGGCCCTGGTTGCCAGGCCTACACAGAGCTTTGCTAGGCAGAGGGGACAGAGCCTCAGGGTCGGGGTCTCGCAGGTCACTGCGCCAAGGACTCGGGCATGAACTACCGTGGGGAAGTGAATGTCACCCGATCGGGCATCGAGTGCCAGCTCTGGAGCAGCCGCTACCCACACAGGCCTGAGTGAGTCTGGGGCGTGGGCGGTGCTAGGTGGGGGTGTGGGCGCAGAGCCTGCTGAGCGCTGTGCCCTTGTGCCCCTACAGGGTGAACCAGAGCAGCCACCCGAATGCTGGGCTGCTTGAGAACTTCTGCCGCAACCCCGACGGCAGCACCACCGGCCCCTGGTGCTACACGACCGACCCCACTGTGCGTAGGGAGGAGTGCAGTGTGCCTGTGTGCGGTGAGCAGGCGGGGGGGGGGGGTTGGCTAAGGCCTGGGGTCACCTCCCAAGCTGGGGGAGGAATAGGCCTGATGGCCAGGGAGGCTGGAATCCCAGTACGTGGGGAGGCTGAGGTAGGAGGATTCCTATGAGTTTGAGGCCTGCGTGGGCTACAAAGTAAGCTCTAGGCCAGCTGGAGCTGTCTATCAAGACCCTGTCTCAAAAGGGAAACAATCACAAAAGTTCCTACCAGAACTTAACCTGCTAACGGGGACACTGTTCTGTGCTCTCTGTGGACCTCTTGCTCCATCCTAGGATGGGTCTTAAGCAAGTTAGGGACCCTCTTCCCTACAGAGCGGTGACTGGCTTGCTGTCAACCTGCCAAAAGGGACTTCCTGTCCACCCAGCCACTGTTCCTGCTGCGTTCTGTAAAAATACACAAAGCTCTTCCTTTCCTTCTTTCTTTTTTTTTTTTTTTTTTTTTTTTTTTTCCTGGAACTGGGATTGAACTCGGGCCCTTGCACTTGCCAGGGAAGCGCTTATTCTGCTGAGCCATCTCCCCGGCCCTTCTTCCTTTCCTTCCCAGCATGGGGTTGAATGTGGGTTCAATGCAAGGGCTGCACTGCTGTGAGCTAACTTCCAGCTCCTCTTGTTTTTGAGACACAGTCTTGCTAAACTATACAGACTGGCCTGGAGTTGCAATCCTCCTGCCTTGACTTCCTGGATTCTGGGATTATAGGGTTGTCTGTACCCTACCATATACATCTCTGAATTCTAAAAATAAAAATGGATTAAAACAAGATGGCTCAGTGGAATAAGCAAGCACTTCCCTGGCAAGTGCCTGAGTTCAAACCCTGGTTCTGAAAAAAACCAAAACCAACCATAAAACCCCAAACCCAACCATCCAGAGCCAGGCTCGGGAGTACTCGCTTATCACCCCAGCATGCTGGGAGGCCGAGACAGAGGATCACAAATTTGAGGTTCGCGCCCAGCCTGGGCAGTCAGTGTAGCTGTTTAGAGCCTCAGAAACTGTCACAAAATAAATAAGGGCTTGGGATGCAGAAACAAGCAACAGCCAGACAGCTCAAACAAAAATCCCACTCCAGGAAGGCAGTAGGGATGCAGCGCAGGTAGCCCCGGACCCCAGGCCTGTTACCATCTCAGGCTTGAGTCACAAGCCAGTGTCAGCCTGAGGGTGTGGCTTGAAGTGAATTTAGACTCGGACAACCAAAGCTCAGAGACCTTGCGCTGCTACCTGAGGGTGCACGGCGGAACCAGCAGACTGGGACACTGCCCTCTGCAGAGGCTCCGTGGCTGCCCCACCCACTGGGTCCTGATCCTCCCTAGGTGAGGCACGCCTCACGGTGGAGATGACGCCCCGTGCTGGGGTCACCAGGCCTGATGCGTCACCTTCCTCGGAGGACTGCGTCCCTGAGCGAGGCCGGCACTACCGGGGTCACCTGGCAGTGACATCACTGGGGTCCCCTTGCCTGCCCTGGGCCAGTGAGCAGGCCAGGTCCCTGAGCCAGGATAAAGACTTCAGCCCAGAGGTGAAACTGGAGGAGAACTTCTGCCGGAACCCCAATAAGGACGAGGAAGGCGCCTGGTGCTTTGTGGCCGATGAGGACCAGGACTTGCAGTACTGCAACCTCAACTACTGTGGTGAGTGGCAGGGCTGAGGGTTGGGGACGCAGGGGACAGCACCACTGCCTCTTGTCCAGAGCTCACTGTGTGGCAGTGCTTGCACATGTTACAGCTCTGCAGAAACGGTGGGGGCTGGCCCTGTGCCCATTTTGAAGATGAATACATAGAGGCCAGTGGGAGCGTGGTTACCCAGTCACCCAGGTGCACCTGCAATTTTTTTTTTTCTATGCTAGGGATTGAACACACACTGAGCTACATCCCTGGTTTTTCTTTCTTTTTTTTTTTTTGTTTAATTTTGAGACAGGGTCTCAGTAAGTCTATCATGTGCCCAGGCTGGGCTTGAGCTCATGGCGATCCTCCTGCCTCAGTTTCCTGAGTGCTGAGATGACATGTGTGCACCACCTACTTGGCCTCCTGTGCCCTCTTAAGCTGAGCACCTAGCTCCTGGGGCCAGCAAGATATCTGGGGATTCTGGGGTGCTGGCCAGCTGTGGCCCAGCCCGGCCCAGCCAGTGCCTGGTCTCCACAGAGGAGGTGCTGGAGGAAGATGCAGCAGTGGGGCTAGCCGAGGTGGCCATAGACGGCCGCACCACGACACAAGACTTCCAGGCCTTCTTTGATGAGCGGACCTTTGGCTTGGGGGAGGCAGGTGAGGCTTGGGGCAGGGTGGGGCAGGGCAGGGAGTGGGCGGGTTTCCAGGCGTTGAGGGTTTGGGCAGCAGAGATGGGGGTGGCCCCTCACCCGCTTGCTCTGCAGACTGCGGGCTGCGGCCGCTGTTTGAGAAGAAGAACGTGAAGGACAAGACGGAGGCGCAGCTGCTGGACTCCTACATAGACGGCCGCATCGTGGAGGGCTGGGATGCGGAGATGGGCATCGCTCCCTGGTGCGTGCTGGGCCCTTGTGGGCCCCTTGCCCTCGAGGCCTGGCCCAGCTGAGCCTGAGCCTGGACACCCACACAGGAGGATCTGGTGGTGCACGGGGGCAGCCTGGTCAGGCTGGATCCCAGGCCCCGGCCCCAGGTCCTTACACTCCTACTGATCACCCAGTTGCCCAGGTGGAGCTTGGGCACTGTCCTGCCTCAGCCTTCTGGGTGCTGGGGCTCCAGGCGGGCCCCTCCATGCCTGGCTACCCCCTCGGCAGGCAGGTGATGCTCTTCCGGAAGACACCCCAGGAACTGCTGTGCGGGGCCAGCCTCATCAGTGACCGCTGGGTGCTCACAGCTGCCCATTGCATCCTGTACCCACCCTGGGACAAGAACTTCACCCACAATGACCTCCTGGTGCGCATCGGCAAGCACTCTCGCAGCAGGTGCGCAGTGGGTGCGGTGGCTCCAGCCCACGGGACATCCGCCTTTCCCACAGTGGAACGCCTGCTGCCCCAGGGGAAAGCCCACGTGGCCGTGTCCTGACCAAGGCTGGGGCTGGGGAAGGAGTAGAATCCTGGTCTGTTCCCAGCCTCACTGCAGACACAAGCCAGGGCCCAGGAGGGCGCTGCTTCACTTAGTGACTTCAGGCCAGGCCTGCCATCTAGTGCTCTGGAGGCTGAGCCAAAAGGATCAGTGAGAGCTCGAGGCTAGCTCCAGCTACACAGTGAGTTCAAGGGGAGCCTGAACTGTGTAGCCAGATCCTGCCTCAAAAAACCCCCAAAATAGGAACAACAACAAATAGTGACTTCAGCCAGGACAGGCAACCTCTGTCACTGTTCTTGTCCCTTGTCTGCCTGGCCTGCCTGGCTTGAAAGCCCAGCTCGGCTTTTGGGCTGGGAAGAGGTTGTCTAGCGGCTGCCGCAGCAGAAGCCAGCCTGTCCCTTCCCTGGTCGCTCCCTGGTGGCCCTGCATCCGTCCCTCCCTGCCCACAGCTGTGGTCTGCACGGGCTGCAGGTATGAGCGGAACATGGAGAAGATCTCCATGCTGGAGAAGATCTACATCCACCCTCGCTACAACTGGCGTGAGAACCTGGACCGCGACATCGCGCTGCTCAAGCTGAAGCGGCCGCTGACCCTGAGTGACTACATCCACCCTGTGTGCCTGCCTGACAAGCAGACGGTGCTCAGGTGGGTGCCCCTTGGGGCTCCGGGGCCGCCTGCTGTCAGCAGCTGGCTGTCCCTTACCCATCCCTTGCATGTAGGCTGCTCCAGGCGGGCCACAAAGGCCGGGTGACGGGCTGGGGCAACCTGCGTGAGGTGTGGAAGAACAGCCCGGGTGAGGTGCAGCCCAGCGTGCTGCAGGTGGTCAACCTGCCCATCGTGGAGCGGCGCACCTGCCGGGCATCCACGCGGATCCGCATCACTGACAACATGTTCTGTGCTGGCAAGTCTGTGGCCCGTGCCGGGGATGGGCACAGGGTGTGGTGGTCCTGGGTGGTGCTCACAAGCTGGGCAGCTGTGGGCAAACGGCCAGAGCTCTCAGGAGCTCAGCGTTCCCTCTGGACAGCTGGGCCCAGAGGCTCCCTAGCAGCAGGGTTAGGGTGGTCCGTGCACAGTAGCTGGCTGCGCAGCCAGCAGCTCTGGCGTGTGTGGCTAGAGAGTGGCACACTTCTGTGATCCCAGCACCTCCGAAGGCTGAGGCAGGAGGATTGAGAGTTCAAGGCCAGACTCGACAAGCTTGTGAGACTTATCTCAAAATAAAAATTTCAAAAGGGCTGGGGATGTAGCCCAGCATACCCTGATTTTAATTCTGGTACTTGGGGGTAGGAAAAAGCCAAATATTCACCCATTCAGCAAATATTTATTGAGTGCCCACTACGTCCTAGGCAGTGTTTCCTGGAGTACAAGGGGGACTCAGGCAGGTGCCACCTGCCTCTGGGGAGCACTTCCTCCTTAGGAGATGGGGACATCAACAAGCACATGGAGGCCACAGAGCCTGCTGCGTGCTGCGGAGGAGTAAACAGAGTCCCACAGGAAGGGAGGGACAAGGGCTTCTCTTTTGCTGTGGTGCCGGGGATTAGAGCCCTGGCCATGCACATGCCAGATTAGCACTCCACCACTGAGCGCCACCCCAGCCTGATCTTTTACAAGGTTTTACATTTTTTATTGTAAGTTCAGACTCACAAAAAGTTGTATAAATGCAAAAAACTCCTGTACAAAGCTTCTATCCTCCCGATTTTCCCTTTTCTAGGCATGTGATGCATACACACTTGTACATACCCAACTTGAGTGTAGATTGTACATATTTTTGTTGTTTTTTTACAAAACAATTTAATTTTTAAATTTTTATTTATTTATCTGTGTGTGTGTGTGTGTGTGTGTGTGTGTCCTGCTCAGCCCACCAGGGGAGGGGCTGGCTGGCATGTGGTGCTGAGGGATTGAACCGCGGTCCCTGTGCTTTGCTAAGCTTGTTCTAAGTAGGTGTTTTAGACCACTGAGCCATCTCACCAGCCCCATTTTTTTTTGCGGAACCGGGGATTGAACTCAGGCCCTAGTGCTTGCCAGGCAAGCGCTTAA